TTAAAACTTGATCCGTTACGGCAGAACTTGAAGGAATGTTTTACATTATCGTTCAAATAGCAGGTTACAGACAGAGAAGAAACTGACTTGCATTACGCTGTTGTTACATACGTAGATTCATACATACCAACCACATTCATATGTGTAAGTATGTGCAAAGTAACGAAAGGTTTAGAAAGGCATTCCTACTGTTTATATAATAATTGTTACTTTCGAAAAAGGTAATAATAATTTCAATTAGAAGCTACGGGTAGTAAAGTGAAATTAAAGTGAATATTTACATAATTACAACATAAGAACGTCTTCTAAGTGCTTTAAACTTTATGCAAAACGGTTGTATATAATTAATGGTTAAAGGTACCATCTTTCGGTAACAAATTTTAGCGCTTACAATATTTTTCTATGGCTTTTCTTTTCCGAAATAATCTGTCTAGTGCCACCTTGGTGGATCTCCAGTGGTTTTTCACTAGACAGCAGGTAGACAAACAAGCGACAAAATGAGTAAAAGTACCATTTTTCAGCGACAAATTGTACCTTTTAATTTCCGAAGAAAGTTTTTGTATTTTATAACAAATTATCAACAAATTATAGTGCATTTTAGAAACGAGGTAAATTATCTTTCTCCAAAATAATGATCATACATTAATCAGATTAGCTCACTCTATTTTAGCCCCCGCAGTAATTGTCCATTAATGTATTTGCCAAGTTAATCGAAATCTATATCGTTTTCAGCAAAACACAGTTAGTGCTGTTATTTCTATCCAACTATTAGAATGCTGAAATAGCTGCTGTCATGTTATATCGTCGTTCGACATACACCATTTCTTGTTACATTTAGTAGCATCAAAGTTATTTTTGTTATAGCACGGTTTGTTGGCGTTTCTTGTCCCACTTTCCTTTATTTAGGTCAAAAAATTGACGACGCAGATTAAATTTCCTTTCCATGTCGTCTTTGCGACATATCATTCGAAATTATTGGAACGAAAACATACAGAAACTATTACTTTTATTACTATTACACATAGTAATTTGCAACTAATGGGTACAACTTTTACATCATTGAGTGGAACAACAAAGGGTGCTACAGGAGATGAAGGGTTGGTTGGGGTTAGTCAGAAACATATAAGAAGTACTAACAGGAGTAAAATAAGGCTAAGATAGACCTAGATTAGATTTCTGTTCTTACCAATAGCTGCATAATGATCTCTAACTTAAAATTGTGAAACAATAAATACTGAAAGCACTAAAAATGATGTTCAACGTTTAAAATTCACATTCACATTGCCGTACTACATCATTCCAAGTCGAGCGATTTTATTTAAAGTACCTATACACTTATTGTTGTTTATAATGGTGTTAATTATATTAATAAATGACACCTTATCTATTGTTTTCAAAATATCTACAGGTATAATATTATTGAAAAGGCATTGCCAATATTTAGACGCAAGGAATTCCAATGTACACATTATGAATGTAGGTACATTTTCCAATTAATATAAGTGCAGGTTCAAGGGTCCAGAAATTAGGCGATTATTAAAAAGATAATAAAGTCATTATTTTATGTAGATAAGTCAATTAGATTTTGCCACCAACATTGATCATCGTCAGTTGTAGATCTTGAAAAAAGTTATTTGCGATTAAATTGTCAAAATAATTACAGTATCTATTAGCCCTTATTCAAATCCAAATGAAAATATTTATTTAATAATATAACTGATTCAAAAAAAGCAATGAGGAAAACTTTATTTGTATAGTAAAACACAGTAGAACCTCAATAAGCCACAGTTAGACTTATTGAGATTCCGGTTTTAGTAACGGAGGAAACTTAAGGAAACAGAAACTATCTGGCGATGAACGGGAAGTTAATTTTTACTCTTTTTCCATCAATTGAAACTAATTTCTTCGGATATTTTCAAAGTTACTGTACAATTCACGTTAGATAATAATTATCTTATTCTCGCCATGACCTCGAGTTAATCTGTTGTAATAAGAAAATTGTCGTACATTACTACACTACATGTTGCGATGACACTCTTGAATATCATTATAGTAAATGGATATGTATTCATATCCAGTACGCACCTGAAGATATTTCTGGCTATAGCGTAATATCCATAGTCCTTCACCAAAGCAATGTTATTTATACACTGAGAAGTAATGGTAATAGTATGTAATTATTCCTATCTTTTGTATCAACACTAACTCACTAACGAACACTTTTTAATCTTTACGAATTCTTTTCGAATAGCGAATTTATTGGACACGCACGTTAAAACTGTCGCGTTCTTGTTTGTAACTTTGTAAGGTACTGTAGGTACGTTACAGTATTGTAGAAACGCGTCGCGTCGCGCACTTGAATTCGAAATCAACTGACTGACTTTGAAGGAGGCTAATGTTCTCTCGCTGCCTGCACCTCAAATCACCACTCCACCTTCTTCTACTACTTATAGTTTTTGCTGGGCACGGCACGATTTAATGAACGATGTTGTTCTTCTTCTTTCATGCCGTTCTTAATGATCTAGCAGATTATCCCCTTATCCTTAATGCCATAATCACGCTAACTTAAATATACAATAACATCGTCTTAATTTATCCTGTCCATGTCCAGTAGTGGTAGATTTTGTAAGTATAAAGCTTTTTATAAGACATAGTCAGGGACGTAGCAGCAGGTGAGCCACGGAACTCTAGGTGTCATAGGTTGCATGGAACTCAAAACCTACAAGGGTGTTGAAAAACGAGACTGTTGTTATATTAGATAGTAGTGAGCTTTTTTCCAAAGGCGTCTCATAAGTCATAAAGACAGTCAAGGACACAGAACTTAAGGAATTTTGGATTACACAGAAAAACTAACAGGGTTGGAAAAGGGGCAGACACAGTCAAGGACGTAACTACATCTAGGCCACGGAACTCAAGGCGTCTTGGGTTATATGGAACTTAAAACCCACAGGGGTGTGGAGAAACAACAATATCTTTACATCAGATAGTACTGTCCTTCTTTTTTCTAAAATTATAAGACACAGTCAGCGATGTACCTACAAGTGGCCCACGAAACTCAAGGAGTCTTGAGTTACATGGAACTTAATACCTATAAGGGTATGGAGAGAGGAACGCTCAAAGCTCCTCATATGTTATTAGGACTGTCAGGGACATAGATATGGGTGAATCATGGAACTCAAGGAGTCTTGGGTTACATGAAACTTAAAATCCACCGGGGTGAGAAGAGAGAACACTATGCTTATATCAAATAGTACAGTCCTTCTTTTCCAAAAGCGTCTCATAAGTCATAAAGACAGTCAGGGACAGTGAGTGGACCACGGAACTCAAGGAGTCTTGGGTTGCATGGAACTTAAAACCCACGAGGGTGTGGAAAGAGAGAGCACTATGCTTATACCAGATGGTACAGTCTTTCTTTTCCTAAAGACTTCTCATAAGTTATAAGACACAGTCAGCGATGTACCTACAAATGGCCCACGAAACTCAAGGCGTCTTAGGTTACAGGGAACTTAAAACCCACAGGGCTGTGGAGAAAGAACAATATCTTTAAATCAGATAGTACAGTCCTTCTTTTTCTAAAGGCTTCTCATAAGTTATAAGACACAGTCAGGAACGTACGTACAAGTGGCCCACGAAACTCAAGGAGTCTTGAGTTACAAGGAATTTAATACCTATAAGGGTATGGAGAGAGGAACGCTCAAAGCTCCTCATATGTTATAAGGACTGTCAGGGACATAGGTATGGGTGAATCATGGAACTCAAGGAGTCTTGGGTTACATGAAACTTAAAATCCACCGGGGTGAGAAGAGAGAACACTATGCTTATATCAAATAGTACAGTCCTTCTTTTCCAAAAGCGTCTCATAAGTCATAAAGACAGTCAGGGACAGTGAGTGGACCACGGAACTGAAGGAGTCTTGGGTTGCATGGAACTTAAAACCCACGAGGGTGTGGAAAGAGAGAGCACTATGCTTATACCAGATGGTACAGTCCTTCTTTTCCTAAAGACTTCTCATAAGTTATAAGACACAGTCAGCGATGTACCTACAAATGGCCCACGAAACTCAAGGCGTCTTGGGTTACATGGAACTTAAAACCCACAGGGCTGTGGAGAAAGAACAATATCTTTAAATCAGATAGTACAGTCCTTCTTTTTCTAAAGGCTCCTCATAAGTTATAAGACACAGTCAGGAACGTACGTACAAGTGGCCCACGAAACTCAAGGAGTCTTGAGTTACAAGGAATTTAATACCTATAAGGGTATGGAGAGAGGAACGCTCAAAGCTCCTCATATGTTATAAGGACTGTCAGGGACATAGGTATGGGTGAATCATGGAACTCAAGGAGTCTTGGGTTACATGAAACTTAAAATCCACCGGGGTGAGAAGAGAGAACACTATGCTTATATCAAATAGTACAGTCCTTCTTTTCCAAAAGCGTCTCATAAGTCATAAAGACAGTCAGGGACAGTGAGTGGACCACGGAACTGAAGGAGTCTTGGGTTGCATGGAACTTAAAACCCACGAGGGTGTGGAAAGAGAGAGCACTATGCTTATACCAGATGGTACAGTCCTTCTTTTCCTAAAGACTTCTCATAAGTTATAAGACACAGTCAGCGATGTACCTACAAATGGCCCACGAAACTCAAGGCGTCTTGGGTTACATGGAACTTAAAACCCACAGGGCTGTGGAGAAAGAACAATATCTTTAAATCAGATAGTACAGTCCTTCTTTTTCTAAAGGCTCCTCATAAGTTATAAGACACAGTCAGGAACGTACGTACAAGTGGCCCACGAAACTCAAGGAGTCTTGAGTTACAAGGAATTTAATACCTATAAGGGTATGGAGAGAGGAACGCTCAAAGCTCCTCATATGTTATAAGGACTGTCAGGGACATAGGTATGGGTGAATCATGGAACTCAAGGAGTCTTGGGTTACATGAAACTTAAAATCCACCGGGGTGAGAAGAGAGAACACTATGCTTATATCAAATAGTACAGTCCTTCTTTTCCAAAAGCGTCTCATAAGTCATAAAGACAGTCAGGGACAGTGAGTGGACCACGGAACTGAAGGAGTCTTGGGTTGCATGGAACTTAAAACCCACGAGGGTGTGGAAAGAGAGAGCACTATGCTTATACCAGATGGTACAGTCCTTCTTTTCCTAAAGACTTCTCATAAGTTATAAGACACAGTCAGCGATGTACCTACAAATGGCCCACGAAACTCAAGGCGTCTTGGGTTACATGGAACTTAAAACCCACAGGGCTGTGGAGAAAGAACAATATCTTTAAATCAGATAGTACAGTCCTTCTTTTTCTAAAGGCTCCTCATAAGTTATAAGACACAGTCAGGAACGTACGTACAAGTGGCCCACGAAACTCAAGGAGTCTTGAGTTACAAGGAATTTAATACCTATAAGGGTATGGAGAGAGGAACGCTCAAAGCTCCTCATATGTTATAAGGACTGTCAGGGACATAGGTATGGGTGAATCATGGAACTCAAGGAGTCTTGGGTTACATGAAACTTAAAATCCACCGGGGTGAGAAGAGAGAACACTATGCTTATATCAAATAGTACAGTCCTTCTTTTCCAAAAGCGTCTCATAAGTCATAAAGACAGTCAGGGACAGTGAGTGGACCACGGAACTGAAGGAGTCTTGGGTTGCATGGAACTTAAAACCCACGAGGGTGTGGAAAGAGAGAGCACTATGCTTATACCAGATGGTACAGTCCTTCTTTTCCTAAAGACTTCTCATAAGTTATAAGACACAGTCAGCGATGTACCTACAAATGGCCCACGAAACTCAAGGCGTCTTGGGTTACATGGAACTTAAAACCCACAGGGCTGTGGAGAAAGAACAATATCTTTAAATCAGATAGTACAGTCCTTCTTTTTCTAAAGGCTCCTCATAAGTTATAAGACACAGTCAGGAACGTACGTACAAGTGGCCCACGAAACTCAAGGAGTCTTGAGTTACAAGGAATTTAATACCTATAAGGGTATGGAGAGAGGAACGCTCAAAGCTCCTCATATGTTATAAGGACTGTCAGGGACATAGGTATGGGTGAATCATGGAACTCAAGGAGTCTTGGGTTACATGAAACTTAAAATCCACCGGGGTGAGAAGAGAGAACACTATGCTTATATCAAATAGTACAGTCCTTCTTTTCCAAAAGCGTCTCATAAGTCATAAAGACAGTCAGGGACAGTGAGTGGACCACGGAACTGAAGGAGTCTTGGGTTGCATGGAACTTAAAACCCACGAGGGTGTGGAAAGAGAGAGCACTATGCTTATACCAGATGGTACAGTCCTTCTTTTCCTAAAGACTTCTCATAAGTTATAAGACACAGTCAGCGATGTACCTACAAATGGCCCACGAAACTCAAGGCGTCTTGGGTTACATGGAACTTAAAACCCACAGGGCTGTGGAGAAAGAACAATATCTTTAAATCAGATAGTACAGTCCTTCTTTTTCTAAAGGCTCCTCATAAGTTATAAGACACAGTCAGGAACGTACGTACAAGTGGCCCACGAAACTCAAGGAGTCTTGAGTTACATGGAACTTAAGACCTATAAGGGTATGGAGAGAGGAAGGCTCAAAAGGCTCCTCATAAGTTTTAAGGACTGTCAGGGACATAAGTATGGGTGGATCGTGGAACTCAAGGAGTCTCGGGTTACATGGAACTTAAAACCCACAGGGCTATGGAGAAAGAACAATATCTTTAAATCAGATAGTACAGTCCTTCTTTTTCTAAAGGCCCCTCATAAATTATAAGACACAGTCAGGAACGTACGTACAAGTGGCCCACGAAACTCAAGGAGTCTTGAGTTACATGGAACTTAATACCTATAAGGGTATGGAGAGAGGAACGCTCAAAGCTCCTCATATGTTATAAGGACTGTCAGGGACATAGGTATGGGTGGATCATGGAACTCAAGGAGTCTTGGGTTACATGAAACTTAAAACCCACAGGGGTGTGGAGAGAGGCACCATGCTTATACCAGACGGTACAGTCCTTCTTTTCCTAAAGGCTCCTCATAAGTTATAAGACACAATCAGGGATGTACCTACAAGCGGCCCACGAAACTCAAGGAGTTTTGGGTTACATGGAACTTAAAACCTACAAGGGCATGGAAAAAGGACAGGCACCGTCAGAGACGTAGCTACTTCTAGGCCATAGAACTCAAAGCGTCTTGGGTTACATGGAACTTAAAACTTACAGGGATGCGGGGAGAGAACACTACGCTTATATCAGATAGTACAGCCATTCTTTTCCTAAAGGCTCCTCATAAGTTATAAGACACAGTCAGGGATGTATCTACAAGTGGCCCACGAAACTTGCGTTACACGGAACATAAAACCTACAAGGGTGTGGAGAGAGAAGACTATTTTGTATATCAGATTGTACTTCCCTTCTTTTCAAAAAGCTCCTTATAAG